CAACCACAGCAACAACAACAACAAAACAACCATGAACTAGAACCAGCCAACAAACAACCGAGCGAGCAACATAACACCCAAGCAAGGAAATAAGCAAGCAAGCGAGCACGAAGGCAGGCAGGCAGGCAGGCAGGCAGGCAGGCAGGCAGGCAGGCAGGCAGGCAGGCAGGCAGGCAGGCAGGCAGGCAGGCAGGCAGGCAGGCACAGACGCCGCAGACAACATGATATCACCAGGCTGCGTAAGTTGATGGTGTTTATTGTTTGCTATTGCTGTGTAGCTAGTTTTCTTGCAGATCATGTACTGGGTAAAAACTCGTAGGTATTGATCGAGCCTTCCGACGGAGACACGGTGCTTTCCGAATCTGAACTGTGAAAGCATGTCCTTTGCATACAGAGACAGGCCACTTAGCTTGGCCGCCTGTGGACACCCTTCGCATTGTGCTTGTTGCACGGTGCAGGTTCGGTTCAGCCCTTGGTAGCCTAGCAGAACAGTCGCCATGGGAAACCTCTGTGAGTGTTGTGGGATTCGAGACAAGGGGCCGACGGGCTTGCCACAGTATGGTAGTGGTGGCAATGCCGGGCATGGGTATGCCTTGGCCATAAATGACAGGGCCACGATGGAGGATGCAGTCGCCATCCAAGAGAATGTAGCCGGATACACGTGCCTTGCCGTCTTAGACGGGCACGGAGGGGACAAGGCAGCCACACTGGCTCAGTCGCAGTTAGCAAGGCAGCTGAACCAGCATCTTCAGCAGACATCCAACAAGGAGCAGGCCGCGATTGATGCCTTCCATGCAGTGGAAGAGCTCATGCACGAGGAATTGGCCGGCGAGGCCAGTATGTTGCCTTCCGGAACATCATCCGGAACTGTCGCATGTGTGGCACTTTTCCAGGAGAAGGAGGTTATCTTGGTGAATTTGGGAGACTGCCGCGCGGTGGTTTGTGAGTCCTCGAAGTTGGCCACCAAGACCAAGGACCACTCCCCGGAGAAGAACGAGCTGGAGAAGCAGAGGCTTCACCACAGTGGAGTGAGTGTTGAGTGTGGATACGTTGATGGCAAAGTTCAGGTCTCCCGGGCCTTCGGGGACATCACGGCCGAGACCGGACACAAGATTTTGGGCCTCACGTGCACACCGGAGGTCACGATCGTCGAGGTAAAGGAGACCACCGAGTTCCTTATCCTGGCCACAGATGGGATTTGGGATGGCATTCAGGACCAAACGGCAATTACAACGGCCCGGAAGGTGCTTCGTGAGACGCGGTCTCCAGAAGCGGCAGCGAAGGCGGTGCTGGAAGCTGCCGGCAAGGT